TGAGATGCAATGACTTGTTGCCAGAACCTTATATACACATTTAAGCAAAATATGGGTTTTTCTACAGTTTATTTGTAGAAATTAACCGCTTCACTTCACAGACACAAGCGTCATTGAGTCACAGGGTAGATATGGCATGCAAGGCAAGCCAGGATTTCTCGAATTATATTTTTTTAGGATTGCGCATTGGGCAAACATGTGTTTTCTGTTGTAACCAACGCCGTTACTCATTTTGGATATAAGTAGATTTTCGGGACTCATTAAGTTATATTTAAAAAGAATCATCCAATCTCAGCAAAGATGGTTGTGGGACTAATAGTAAAGTTTTCCTACAATCGGGAGAATTAGAAATCACATCGGCAGGTTTGGCCTTCATCCTATTCCCTCTGGTCCCATCGTCGCCTCACACGCCTTCCTCCCATTCCCATGCTCCACACCCTCGAACTATGCACCCTCCCGGCACAGGAGGTGGGCATCCAGGCCGTGGCCCGACAACGCCGCTGCAAGACGCAGAGTGGCGCTCCACAGATCGGCAAGCAGTACTACTCGGCCGCCTGCCAGATTGGCACCACAGCAGAACCTCGCGGAGTCTCAGTCTGTCTGGAGGTGCCGAGCCGGAAGGAGGACCGACCGCCGACCTTCGGCAAAAAGCTACAAGTCGGCCAGCCCTGGTGGATGGAGCAGATGAGTCCGGACGAGATGGAGGCCGTGGAGGCCCGGCTTATTCCACGCGTCCTGGTAAACACGTTTACCACACACACCACCCATCACCTACCACACATCACACACAACACCCAACACACCACTCATCACCTTCCACACATCATACATAGCACCTCACCCACCACCCATTACCTTCCACATATCACACAGAACACTCTACACACCACACATCACACACAACACCCAAAAACCCTACCTATCACCTACCACACATCACACCCAATACCCCACACACTACCCATCACCTTCCACATATCACACACAACACCCCACACCCTACCAATCACTTACCACACATTACACTCAATAGCTCACACACCACCCATCACCTACCACACATCACACACACAACACAACACACAACACCCCACACACCACCCATCACCTACCACACATCAAACACACAACACAACCCACAACACCCCACACCCTCCTTATCACCCACCACACATCACACTCAATACCTTACACACCACCCTTCACCTACCACACATCACACATAACACCCCACACACCACCCATCACCCATCACTTATCATATATCATACCCAACACCCCACACACCACCCATCACCCATCACCCATCACCCATCACCCATTACCCATCACCCATCACTTATCATATATCATACCCAACACCCCACACACAACC